GAGGTCGGGAGTTTGATATCAGCCTGGGCAACATGGTGAAACCCCATCTCTACTAAATATACCGAATTAGCCAGGCATGGTGGCGCATGCCTGTAGTCCCAGCTACCTGGAAGGCTGAGGCAGGAGAATCACTTGAACGTGGGAGGTGGAGGTTGCAGTGAGCCGAGAGATCGCGCCATTGTACTCTAGCCTGGGCAATAAGAGTGAAACTCTGTCTCGAGTGGGAAAAAAAAAAAAAACAAAAAAAAAACATATACACACACACACACACACACACACACACACACATCAATAAAGTCCACCAATCAGGTAACAGTATTGTTTAGTATTAATTTCCTGCTTGGGTAGATGCCTGCGGTTCAGTAAGAGATTGTGCTTGTCTTCTGGAAATACATACTGAAGTATTGAGTATGTCACTCTTATTTTATGTTTAAATTTTTTCTCTCTCTCCTTTTTTTTGGTAGAGGCAGGGTCTCAGTATACTGGCCAGGCCGGTCTCCTGGCCTCAAGTGATCTTCCCACCTTGGGCTCCCAAAATGCTGGGATTAAACCACTGCACCCAGGCCCTGTCACTTACTCTTAAATGGTTTCAGAAAAAAGTAACTGGAGAGGATAAAGCTGATATGGTAACATTTAGGAAATCTGGAAAACTAAAAATAATTTTTTAATTTTTTTGAGATAGGGTCTTGCTCTGTCACCCAGGCTGGAGTACAGTGGCGCAATCTCAGCTCACTGCAACCTCTGCCTCCTGGGCTCAAGCGATCCTCTCATCTCAGCCTCCTGAGGAGCTGGGACTACAGCTGCACACTACCATGCTCTGCTAATCTTTTAAATTTTTTGTAGAGACAGGATTTCGCCATGTTGCCCAGGCTGGTCTCAAATTCCTGGGTTCAAGTAATCCGTCCACCTTGGCCTCCCAAACTGCTGGGACTACTGGCGTGAGCCACCGCGCCCAGCCTAAAAATAAATTATTGTTGAAATTGTATTTCAGTTTTTAAAAACTGTTACAGCCAAAAGACAACACAGACTCCTAAAAGGAGTCTTGGGCTGGGTCAGAAGTAGATTCTAACCCTGAGCCTCTCCCTTACTAGCTATGTAGCTCTGGGCCATCACATCTGCTATGAGGGTAATCGCCCCACCCATCCATTCTGTTGGGTTACTTTTTTTTTTCTTCTTCTTTCTCTTTTATTTTTTTTGAGACGGAGTCTCGCTGTGTCACCCAGGCTGGAGTGCAGTGGCCCGATCTCGGCTCACTGTGAGCTCCGCCTCCCGGGTTCACGCTATTCTCCCGCCTCAGCCTCCCGAGTAGCTGGGACTACAGGCGCCCGCCACCTCGCCCAGCTAGTTTTTTTTTTTTTTTTTTTTTTGTATTTTTAGTAGAGACGGGGTTTCACCATGTTAGCCAGGATGGTCTCGATCTCCCGACCTTGTGATCCACCCGCCTCGGCCTCCCAAAATGCTGAGATTACAGGCTTGAGCCACTGCGCCCGGCCTCTTTTCTTTCTTTTTTTTTTTTTTTTTCTTTCTTTTTTTTTTTTTTTTTGAGACAGGGTCTCACTCTGTCACTCCAACTGGAGTGCAGTGGTGGTCTTGGCTCAGTGAAGCCTCAACTTCCTGGGCTCAAGTGATCCTCCTGCCTCAGCCTCCCAAAGTGCTGGGATTACAGGTGTGAGCTACCACCCCTGGCCCTGTTGGGTTATTGGTGATTAGTGGGCTAATGAATGGAACAGCACTCTGCAAACATCAGGGGCCAGACACAGCTCATGCTGAAATATGGTTTCCTGAGGATGAGGTCTAAACTGCCTCCTCTCTCTGGAAAGGGGGCCACGGTAGGTATAATGATGGGGCCCCAGGCGGCCACGCAGGTGCTCTCCTAGGAACTTGTGCGTGTGCAGGATTCTCTCTAACCTCCTGCCTTTATGTGACTGTAATCAGTTTTAGCGATGGTTTCTGTCACTTTGCATTGTATCGTATCATTAAAAAAAAAGACTTACAGAATTCAAAACCAGTATCTAAGAGGTGCACACCATTTCAGAAGGGGAGGGTAGACGCTTAACTTCCTGTTCCCCCACTTCTGGACATTGAGGTTACTTCCAAATTCTCACCATGATAAGTGCCTCACAAGCAGCTTTGTACATAAAGCTTTGTACGTATTTTAGATTATCTCCTTAGACTAGGCTCTGATAAATAGGATTACTGGATCAAGGGGTATGAACCGAATATTTTCTACAAAGACTATTTCAATTTACACCATCAATAATACTGTAGAAAAATGCCAGTGAAACTGGCATTTATCATGTTTGTATTCTGCCTTACTTTTTTTTGATATGGAGACTCGCTCTACCACCCAGGCTGGAGTGCAGTGGCACGGCTGTGGCTCACTGCAACCTCCACTTCCCAGGCTCAAGCGACTCTCCTGCCTCAGCTTCCTGAGTAGTTGGGACTACAGGCATGCATCACCATACCTGGCTAATTTTTGCAATTTCAGTAGAGATGGGGTTTCCCCATGCTGACCAGGCTGGTCTCAAACTCCTGACCTCAAATGATCCGCCCACTTTGGTCTCCCAAAGCGCTGGGATTTACAGGCATGAGCCACCACACCCAGCCCTGCCTTACTATTTTTTTCCTCCTAATTAAATGAGGAAATGGTACCTTATTGTTATAACTTGCACTGCTTTGAGTATTAATGGTATATGATAGATACTTATCAACTGCTGTTACTATTTTGCTTGAGTATGTCTTTTGTCCATTTTTCAGGATATTTGTGGTAAAAAAAATTGAATTCTTAAATGCACATTAGAATAGGGATATCAACTTTTGTGTTGTCATATTTTAAAATACTTTCCAAAACTGAAAGCTTTGAAGAGGATGGAATTCCAGCAGTATGAAATGGTTAAAAAGTGGATAATCACGTATTTATGCCTGAAGGTGGTATTTCTCACATCAATAGATCCTGCAAACAATAAACTAATATTCCAAAGAAATTTTACTGGAAATACATTGGAGAGTCCTTAGTAAGGTCATTGGCAATACAGTCTAGGAAGATCTAGGTCAACAGATGAACCTGTTAGACAGGTTTAACCAATTCCCTTAGACTAGTGAAGTCTGAATGCTGAGAACTCCAGAGAATAAATTGTCAAACTCCCTCTCTAGCTTGGATACAGGTAATTTTACTTTCTTTTAAAGGCAGGCAGGTCACATTCAACAGACAAGATGAATAAGTTGCTTGTTTTTTCTTTTCTTTTTTCTCTTTCTTTTTTTTTTTTTTTTTTTTTTTCTGTCTTGTTTGAGACAGGGTGTTGCTCTGCCTGCAGTCATAGCTCACTTATAGCCTCGACCTCCCAGGCTCAAGCGATCCTCCCACCTCAGCCTCACAAGTAGCTGGAACTACAGGCATGCGTCACCATGCCCAGCTAATTTTTAAATTTTTAGTAGAGACAAAGCCTCACTATGTTGGCCAGTTGAACTCTTGGGCTCAAGCGATCCTCCTGCCTCAGCCTCGCAAAGTGTTGGGATTACGGGTACAAGCCACCACGCTGGGCCTACTTCTTTATCAAAGAAGCCCTTCCTGAACAACACAGAAAACCCCCCAGAGGGTCCCTAATGAGAACCAAACAGAAAAACCCCCAACTCAGGTTTGTTGGGCAATCCTTCTTTTCCACAGAAGCTGGACCAGATTCTGTTATCGTTTAAAAAATATACTACGTTGAATATTTTTAAAGACAAGAAGGGAAAGAGAACAGGTTCTTGCAAAGATAGGTACAGCCTCGACTCCTTTCAAGTACACACGATCTCCCGAGTACTCGCTGCCCACACCCAGCCAAGTCATCACGGGACCCAGACAGGGTCAGACGGGATGCTGCCGGGAAAGCAAGGCGGGGCCCCATTCCGTGGGGGCCTGCAGCATTTGAGCCATAGTTTGAATGATGTGTTGCGAAGAGTTTTTACTTGCACAGCTGAGAAGCAGGTCACTTTGTTTCTCAAGAACCAGCCGGCCTCAGTGCACAACTGAAGGTCAAGCGACTCTCACAGCCCTGTAGCCTCACCGTGTGACACCCAGGTGACCTGTCTCTGCCAAAGTGCTGACTGTGCTCGCAGTCCTTGGAAGGCACTTAAGTTTTTAATAGAAAGGACCTATAATTAGGGCAGTATCTGGTGCTCTGATCTGGGAGAAGGAGAAAAGGAAAACAGCCCCTAGGATTCCTGCCCACAGTTCAGCACAGGACGCTAGGAGATTTTCAAAACCTGACATTCCCCAGAGATTTTCAAAACCTGACATTCTTCAGCGAGGCTTATGTGAAAGATGCTTGAGCCGCAGAGTAAGGTCTCGGCTTTTCCCCACTCTCAGAGAGCCTCCAGGAGGACTCCGAGACTCCCAGAGCAGCCCTCCGCCCCCGACCTCAATCTCAGAACAACTGAACTCTGGAGAGTCAAGATCACCAAGAACAGAAATACAAGGGGCTGGGGCCTCAGTTTAGAAACGACCAAAGACAGAATAAAAAGGACAGTCCTTTGTACAGCAGAGGCAGGGCAGCTTGGGAGTGGCGGAGTGCACCAAGCTCACTGTGGCTTGGCGTGGGTGGTGGCGTAGGACTAGGAGTTGCCGGCTCTCCAGCCCGGGACAGTTACCCAACTGTCTCCCAGCCTGTTTCCCCATGGGCAGCAGACACGGCCAGGACACAATGCAGCAGGTCACAAGGGGCTCAGAGTGTCCTCCCCTGCCCCGTCCAAGGAAACACGGCCCGGCTCTGGGGGCGAACTCTGACCCCACTACCCCAAGGGGCTGTGCCCTGGGGCAGGCACAGAGGAGCTCCCTCGGGAGCGAATCTCGGGTAAGTCTGGCCTCCTCCCGCTGGCCCAGGGCTGCCCCGGGGGCGCCAGCAGGCACTGCTCGCTGCGGGTAGGGGGGTCCAAACTAGACGTGGCCTCTGGGAGGGCAAGACCGGGAGGGGTCGGCCTGTGTCGGGGGCTACTGGAAAAGCAGCGCCACCGCCACCCACCTGACGACATGGAAGGCCCAAAGCAGGCGGTCTGTGCGGGGCCCGCGCGAGGCGCGGACGATGCTGAGATACAGGTAGAACGCAATGGCCACGGTCCAGAAGAAGGAGCTGGTGTTGGCGAAGGTGGACAGCGCGCCCTGCAGTACGCAGTCCCACGACGGGCCCGCGAAGTCCTGCAGCACTCCGTAGAAGTAGGAGGCGGCCGAGAGCAGGTCGGCCAGCGACAGGAAGAGCAGCAGGCGCCGTGCCCGGCTGCGCAGGTCGGGCCACAGGGCGTGCGTGGCCACCAGCAGGCCCGAGCCGAGCGCGGAGAGCGCGCACGACAGCAGCACCACTGCGCGCTCCGACGGCACCAGCTCGGTGGGCGGCGCGGCCTGCGGCATGGCGTGGGGGACTAAGAGCCAGAGCGCCGGGAGGGCAGAAGCCGGGCCGCGCGTGCGGCCACCGCCGCCGCCGTCTGGGCAGCTAGACGCCCGAGGCTCGCGTCTAGGCGCCCGCCCCACCCGCGTCCGGCCGCTCCCCGCCCATCTGGGCTCTGGGTCCTGAGCCTCGCCCACGCCCAGGGCCCACCCCCCATATCCCGGTCTGAGCCCCGCCCAGGTGCCCCTCCTCGTCCCGTTTCTCCGGGCCCTGAGCCCCGCCCCCTCCACGCCCGTGCGGCTTCCAAGCTCCACCGGGTGCCAGAGGCTCCTGAGCCCCGCCCACGCCCTCACACCACGTCCCTAAGCCCCTAAGCCCTTAAGCCCTATCCCCGGGCCCCCCAGGTCCCAGCACCTGTCCCTCCACACTCTGCCAGGCCCACCCCGGCTCTTGCCAGGTGTCTAGGACGTCCAGTCCTGTGAGAGGAAGGACTGGCATTTTTAGGGCTCGTGTTACTTTCCCTCTTTTCAGCCAGCTTCTGTGTGTGTTGTGAGTGGAAGGGCGTGAGGATCAGAGGCGTTCTTTCCACTAGCAACAGAAGCAGCTCTCGGGTGTGATCCTCATTACTTAAGCCGTGATCCCGACGTGTTCACAAGTTGGTGGTGGTGACGTGGGGAAGCCCGTGTTTCCAACTTTTCTTAAAATAAACATGTTGTTTTTTTAAAAAAAATAGCTAACTAGGTGTGATTTTTAAAAAATGAAATGCTAGGCCGGGCGCGGCTTTTTCTTGTTTAAAAATTTCATACTTTTCAATTAAGATGTAGTTCACATACCGCAAAATTGGCCCTTTTAACTAAACAATTCAGTAGTATGTTCACAAGTTTGTGCAACCATCGTTATTATCATTATCTAATTCTACAACATTGTCATCACCCCAAAAAGAAATCCTTATCCCTTAGCCGTTAGCCCTTAGTCATTCTCCCCTAAGCCCTGGCAACCACTCTTTTACCGTGGATTTGCTTGTTCTGTACATTTCCTATAAGTAAAATCATATGCTCTGTGGCCTTTATGTCTGACTTTTTTCACTTAGCACGTTTCTGAGGTTCATCGTAGCATACAGCAGTGCTTTATTCCTTTTACTGCCCAATCATATTCCATTATATGGATATACCCCTTCTTTTTTTTTTTTTTTTTTTTTTTTTTGTATAGACCGAGTCTCCCTTTGTCGCCCCGACTGGAGTGCAGTGGCATGATCTCGGCTCACTGCAACCTCCACCTCCCAGCTTCAAGCAATTCTCCTGCCTCGCCTCCCGAGTAGCTGGGACTACAGGCACATGCCGCCACACCCGGCTAATTTCTTTTCTATTTTAGTAGAGATGGGGTTTCACCGTGTTGCCCAGGCTGGTCTTGAACTCCTGAGCTCAAGCAGTCTGCCTGCCTCGGCCTCCCAAAGTGCTAGGATTACAGGCATGAGCCACTGTGCTCAGCAGGATGTACCACATTTTACTTAGCTATTATTCATCAGCCGATGGACATTTGGGTTGTTAACACTTTTTAACTATTATGAATAATATCACTATGAAAATTTGCATACAAGTTTTTTGTGATGTATGTTTTCAGTTCTCCTATGTGTATATCTAGGAATGGAGTTGCTGGGCCATACGCAACTTTATATTTCAGCTTGTGAGGAACTGCCAAGGTGTTTTTCAAAGTGACTGTACGTTTCATTTAAATTTACACCAGCAATGTATGAGGAATTTCTCTACATTCTTCCAACACTTTTTTTGAGACAGGGTCTCTGTCACCGAGACTGGAGTGCAGGCACAACCACAGCTCACTGCAGCCTCAAATTACTGGGCTCAAGCAATCCTCCCAAATTGGTCTCCCCAATAGTTAGGACTTCAGGTGCATGTCACCATGCCCTACTAATTTTTTTTTTTTTAAAGACTGAGTCTTGCTCTTGTTGCCCAGATTGGAGTGCAGTGGTGCGATCTAGGCTCACTGCAACCTCTGCCTCCTGGGTTCAAGCAATTCTCCTGCCTCAGCCTCCTGAGCAGCTGGGATTACAGGTGTACACCACCACGCCCTGCTAATTTTTGTATTTTTAGTAAAGACAGGGTTTCACCATGTTGGCCAGGCTGGTCTCGAACTCCTGACCTCAGGTGGTCTGCCCACCTTGGCCTCCCAAAGTGCTGGGATGACAGGTGTGAGCCACCTTGCCCAGCCCCTACTAAATTTGTTTTTTGGAGATGGGGTCTCAGTATGTTGCCCAGGCTGGTCTCAAACTCCTGCCTTGACCTCCCAAAGTGCTGGGATTACAGGTGTGAGGCCACCTCACCCAGCCTTCCAACGTTTTTTATTATCTTTGTGATAATAGCCATCATAGTGGGTGTGAAGTTGTTCCTCATTGTGGTTTAGATTTGCATTTCTCTGATGAATAATGACCTCAAACATCTTTCCTTGTGTGTATTGGACATTTGCATACCCTCTTTGGAGAAATGTCTATCCAACTAACTTTCTCTTTTCTTTGTCTCTCTTTCTTTTCTTTCTTTCTTTTTTTTTTTTTTTTTTTTCAGACTGAGTCTCACACCGTCACCCTGGCTGGAGTGCAGTGGCGTGATCTCGGCTCACTGCAACCTCCACCTCCCAGGTTCAAGCAGTTCTCCTGCCTCAGCCTCCTGAGTAACTGGAATTACAGGCGCCAGTCACCACACGCAGCTAATTTTTGTATTTTTAGTAGAGACGGGGTTTCACCATGTTGATCAGGCTGGTCACAAACCCCTGACTTCAAGTGATCCACCCGCCTCAGCCTCTCAAAGTGCTGGGATTACAGGCGTGAGCCACCACACCTGGCCAATTTTCTTTCTTATTTTTAAATTGGTTTGTCTTTTCGTTGTTGAGCTGCAAGAGTTCTTTATGTATTCTAGTTATTACACTCTTACCAGCTGTGTGATTTGCAAATATTTTCTCCCATTTTGTGGGTTGTCTTTTCACTTTCTTGATAGTGTATTTCTTTTTTTTTTTTTTTTGAGATGGAGTCTCGCTCTGTCGCCCAGGCTAGAGTACAGTGGCCAGATCTCAGCTCACTGTAAGCTCCGCCTCCCGGGTTTACACCATTCTCCTGCCTCAGCCTCCCGAGTAGCTGGGACTCCAGGCGCCCGCTACCTCGCCCGGCTAGTTTTTTGTACTTTTTAGTAGAGACGGGGTTTCACCGTGTTAGCCAGGATGGTCTCGATCTCCTGACCTCGTGATCCGCCCATCTCGGCCTCCCAAAGTGCTGGGATTACAGGCTTGAGCCACCGCGCCCGGCTTCATAGTGTATTTCAAAGGAAAAAAGTGGTTTTTGAGGATGTCCAATTTGTCCATTTTTTTCTTTGGTTGCTTGTGCTTTTGTTGTCACGTCTAAGAAACCATCGCCTATGCCAAACTCATGAAGGTTTGCATCTCTGTTTTGTTTCTTTCCAGCACCTCACTTTTATGGTTACTGTAGCTTTGTAGTAAGTTTTGAAATTGGGAAGTGAGTCCTTCAAGATTATTTTTTCTTTTTTTTGAGATGGAGTCTCACTCTGTTGCCCAGACTGGAGTGCAATGGTTTGATCTCAGCTCACTGCAACCTCCGCCTCCCAGGTTCAAATGATTCTCCTGCCTCAACCTCCCGAGTAGCTGGGACTACAGGCGCCCACTACCACACTTGGCTAATTTTTGTATTTTTAGTGGAGGCAGGGTTTCACTATGTTGCTCAGGCTGTTCTCGAACTCCTGACCTCAAGTGATCTGCCCGCCTCAACCTCCCAAAGTGCTGGGATCACAGGCTTGAGCCACCATGCCCCACCCTTCAACATTGTTTTTCTTTTCCAATATTGTTTTGGCTATCCGATGCCCCTTGGAATTCCCTATTAATTTGAGAATCCGTTTTTCCATTTCTGCAAAAGAAATGGAAAAGATTGATAGAGATTGCTTTGAATCTGTAGATAAAAGTGGAGAATAATGCTATATTAATAATATGAGATCTCCTTATCCATGGACCAAGGATGTCTTTCCATTTATTTAGCTTTTCTTTAACTTCCTTCAGTGATGTCTTATAGTTTTTGGTGTACATTAGGTTTGATCTCGCGTTTGGTTCATAGAAAGCAAATATTATCTTTGTATATCTAACTTTAAAAAAATTGTTTTGGCCAGGCGCAGTGACCTGTAATCCCAGCTCTTTGGGAGGCTAACATGGGAGAATCACTTGAGAGGCCAGGAGTTTAAGGCCAGCCTAGATGACTTAGTGAGACTCCATCTCATACAAAAATAAGATAAAGGCCAGGCATGGTGGCTCACGCCTATAATCCCAGCACTTTGGGAGGCCGAGACAGGCAGATTACCTGAGGTCAGGAGTTCCGAGACCAGTCTGACCAACATGGCAAAACCCCATCTCAACTGAAAATACAAAATTAGTGGGGCATGGTTGCAGGGCGTAATCCCAGCTCTTTGGAACCTGAGGCAGGATAATCGCTTGAACCTGGGAGGCAGAGGTTACAGTGAGCCGAGGTTGCACCATTGCACTCCAGCCTGGGCAACAAGAGTGAAACTCTGTCTCAAAAAAATAAATAAATAAAAATAAAAATAAATTGTTTTATGAAATATGCATATTGAAAAATGCCTAAAATACAAACGTACAATTTATTAGATAATTATAAACAGCCATCCAGAGCAAGAAATATAACATTACCAGCATACCACAAACCTCCCCCGAACCCCTTCCCCCTCAGTCATTTCCTTGCTTTTTTTTTTTTTTTTTTTTTTTGCCCAGGCTGGTCTTTAACTCCTGGGCTCAAAGGATCCTCTGGCCTCAGCCTCCTAAGCAGCTGGGACTACAGGTAGGAGCCACTACTGGAGGCTCTTGCTCTTACCCATCCATATATGCATCCCTGAACAAAACAGTGCAGTCTGCCTGTCATTGAGCTTTATGTAAGCGGAATCATACTCTCTGTTCCCTTTTGTGTTTTCTGTATTTTGTTCAACATTACTTTTGTGACATTCATCCAACCTCTTACTATTTGCTACACGCAATTCATTCATTTTCACTACTGTATAGTATTCCACTGTATAAATAATTCCATTGTATAAATAATTGTCTATTTATCCATTCTATTGTTTTTGGACATTTGGGTTGTTTCCGGGTTTTGGCTATTAGAAGCAATGCTGGAATAAGCATAGATTCTTTTTTAATCAGAAAAAAAGTTACTATACACAGTTCTCAGCAGTGCAAGCAAACATATTTGTGGAGTTTGTTCTGCAGAGAGCTAAGAGCAGCTGCTTTCCTTCCAAGTCACTTGTGATCGTTCAAAAGACCCCTGACCTCCTCCTGAGAGGACCCCAGACCATAAACAGAACCTGGCTGAGAGTTCTGTCAATGAAGCCTCTCAGCTTTTCTCTGATGGAAATAGCTTTAAGTTTGGCTTTTGCAATCAGCCTGGGGCTTTGGACTACGGCAAGGCAAGAGTCTGGAATGGATTCTGCCTCCCCAGAGCTCAGTCATTTAATCCTTGGGGTATCTGGAGGAGTGGGAGGAGATGGGGCACACGAGAGGTCTTGTAGCAACCTGCTTCGTCAGCAGATCAATTTTGACTAGATCTTTCCTGCTTTACTGAGATTGAAGTGCTTTGCCTAAATCTCCAGGTGAGCAGCTGGCTGTTTTACAAGCATTTATTTTTATGTTTTTTCCCCCACCTCCCACCCTCGCTTATAGACCGTTTTCATCAGGAAATTGCTTGGCTTTCTTTGCACTGGGAAACAACATTCAAAGAACTTTCATACTTCCTACACCTAGGGAAAAACTGTGAAAGACGTGCAATGATATAGCTTCAAATTGCTTAGATTTAAATGTGAAGCTAATTTTACACTGTCCAGGGTCATGGATGTTGTCTAGATGGGTCCAGGCATTTATCAGGAGGTGGGAACTGTGACTCCCATCGCAGCTGGGATCTGAAGT